GGGAGCGCCGCCACGCTTCCCAAGCGGCGCACTATCCAGTGCACCACCGGGCCGGCCCATTAGACCCTGCTTCTGAGGCAGATTAAGCCACCTGTACCTGATGGTACCAGGAGGTGAAACCTCCTGCCCTGAACAGGCACCTGATGAGGTGATGACAGTCTGAATGAGTAGCTGGGTGTGAGGGACTGCATACATGGGTGGGGTCACCTGCGTGTTCCTGCCAGGGAACTGCTGAGGAATACAGGGACCTGGAAACCAAAACCACAAGAAACAGAGTGCATGTCCCTGTGGAGGAAGAGCAGCCAGAATATTAGCAACATGAAGTAAAATCAAGAAATCCCGGCAAAGTGATCTTTTAGACAAAGAATGCAATAGAGGGGTGTACAGAATGGACACAGCTAGAGAACAAGTTGATGAGGGACAGTCGGGTAAAGGAGCAGAAGTAAAGAGGAGGTTCAAAGAGTTATCAAGAGAGACAGGGGAGGTGAGCTGCTGTTCAGGTAGCAGACTTGGAGAGAAGGGGGTGTGGAGCAGAGCCCGGAGTGTCTGAGGACCAGGAGGCTGGAGTTCTCTGGACCAGTGAATGGGTCCACAGAGGGCTCCAGGGTGTGAAATTTACCGATGTCAAGGAAGCCAAGCAGAACTCACCAGCCTAGCCCCCAGGAGAGCTGGCGTGAGAAGGCGACAGCATGGCGGTGTCTTCTGAGTTTTAAAAGTTTTTAACTTACATTTTATGTTTGTCCAGACTGCCATTTAAGTGTGAGTTATAGTAAAAATATTCTCAGGTATATAAATTTCAAAAGTTTTGTCATAAAAAGATCAATATTGAAAACACTTTTGGACATGGTACTAAGATTTGTGCAGAAAGAAATGTATTGCATATATTAACATTAGAATTAAGGAAATTTTTCTTTTAAAAACGTGTGCCTGGTTGTTCTCCTTTATTCTGAATTCCTCTCTGTTTTTGTTAACTGACACTTATTTCAGCCATACTCAGGGAGATTAGATGACTGGTTGCTTTATGAATTTGCAGCAAGCAGGCCATTTGTTGGACTGGGTTTTAAATGCCAGTCCATCCATGCCTTGCATCTCAAGGGGCCTCATGTTGCATGTGTCTTGTTTGGTATCCTCTTTCTGCGTGGTCATTTGTGCTGCTGTCCTGTCGCAGGATCGCCGTATTCTCTGTGACTGTGCTGCATGATGACCGCATTGTCCTCGTGGCTGAGCAGCGGCCCGATGCCTCAGAGGAGGACAGCTTCCAGTGGATGAGCCGCGTGCTACAGGTGAGCGCCCTGGGGATAGGCACTCCCCACTCGCGGCCTGGTGTGGCTCCAGTGACTCTCATGGGCTTGTTGTGCAGTTGTACATACATGGTGTCCCCATTCCATTCTGCATGCAGAGTACCGTGTTCGCTCCACCCATCTGCTCTGTCTCCAGCTTGATTTTTTTTTTAATTTTAATTTTTTAAATTGTAAATCGACCAATTATAGTTGTGTATATTCATGGGGTACAAAGTGATGTTATGGTTTGTGAATTCATGTGGAATGATTAACTCAAGCTAATTAACATACACATCACCTCAAATACTGTTTTTTTGTGATGAGAACATTTGAAATTTACTCTCAGTAGATGTTGAAATGTACAGAATGTTATTATCTATTGTATTCACCATGCTGTGCAATATATTCCAATGAAGAAACACTTATTCCTGTTTTTTTGTGATGAGAACATTTGAAATTTACTCTCAGTAGATGTTGAAATGTACAGAACGTTATTATCTATTGTATTCACCATGCTGTGCAATATATTCCAATGAAGAAACACTTATTCCTTCTGTCTGGTTGAGGCTTTGTTCCTTTTCACCATCATCTCCTCCTCCCCCCGCCTCTGGTAACCACCCTTCTACTCTCTGCTTGTTTGGGTTTGGTTGTTTTAGATGCCACATGTAGGTGAGAACATGTGGTTATTTGTCTTTCTCTGCCTGGCTTATTTCACTTAGCATAATTTTCTCTAGTTCCGTCTATATTGTCACCAATGAGAGAATTTCTTTACTATTTTAAGGCTGAGTAGTATTCCATCATGTGTATGCACCATGTTTTCTTTATCCACTCATCTGCTGATGGACACTTCAGTTGCTTCCACAGCTTGGCTACTGTGCATTGTGCTGCAGTGAACGTGGGAATGCAGACGTCTTTTTGACAAACTCATTTCAGATTTTTTGGGTAAATACCCAGAACTGGGATTGCTGGGTCTCCAGCTTGGTTTTGGAAACACTTTTGACTTCTTATACCTGTGCTCAGGCCAGATGCCTGCAGCCCCTTCTTGACCCCCGGGTTGACTTATTGAGACCCTTACCTCACTGCTTCCAAGGATCCCCTCTACCTGCTGCTGCACATAGTGGGCGCTAAGTAAACGTGTGCTTCGTAAGGACTCGTTGAACAGCATCGTGTAACTGTGTGATGCTATGCAAGGGTTAGTGTGTCATTGTTCTCTAAATAGCAGTACCATAAAGCTGTTATCAATTAGAATAATTTAAAATGAGAATATCACTTAGTTTCTGAGTAGGCCAACACCCTATGGTTGGACTGGTGAAAAAATGAGAAATTGTACGCAGCTACGTACTGGTTCCTTTTGCAATATTTTATTATGAAAAATTTCAAACATACAGCAAAATTGAAAGAATTGTGTAGTGAATTCCTCATGACAGCACTGGGTTCTGAAGTGGACAGCCCATGGGTGTGTGTGCTCCTCTCATGTCTGCCTTTGTCCACCTTCAGCAGTGCTGTGTGCATACACACTGCTGGTGCCACTTTTCTAACTGCATTGAGAACTAGAGTTCAGCGTGCTCACTCTTGCAGAGAGTGGGACAAAATGTGCCATCGGTAAAGTACACAAATCTCACATTCAGTGTTTTTAAAGTCAACTTTGTTGGATATAACTCACATGTAAAATGAGCCCTTTTAAGTGTACACTTTGATGAGTTTTGGCAAATGAAAGCATCCAGGCAACAATGACCACAGGTCAGATGCGGAATGTTCCCATCCTCCCAGCAAATTCTCCTCTGCCACTGCGGCCAGCTCCCAGCTCTGCCCCAGCTCTGAGAACCACGGATGTGCTTCGTGTGGCTGCAGACTCATTTTGTCTTTCATGGACACTCTGTGTGAGTGGAATCACGCAGTTCGCACTCTTCCATCTGGCTGCTTTCCCTCAGTACAGTACATTTTTGAGGTTCATCATGTTGTTGTGTGATCGGTGTTTCCTTTCTGTTGCTGAGAATGTCCCTTTGTGTGGATCCATCAGGGTTGGCCTGTCTTTCCACATCTTGATGGACATTTGAGTTGTTTCTCACTTTTGGCTATTATGAATAAAGCTGCTGTGGAAAACAGTGTAAAAATCTTTGGGTGAGTTTCAGTTCTGGCAGCTTTTCTTAGAGCATCTCTGGATCAGTTGTGTGAAGTTCAGCACAGCCCCACGGCCATCTGGAAAAGGAAGCTTGTGAGTGACAGAGGTAGTTAGTTAGAAGGACCCTGTGCTTCAGAGTATTATTTTTCCACTAATATTTCACAATATTTATTTTTAATAATATTTTAAGTGTTTTATTATGAAATATTTCAAATACATCAAACTCAAAGAGAATAGTGTAACAACCTCCATGTTCCCATCACTGTGCTTCCAGATGATCAATTCAGGTCCCATCTGTACCATCAAAAATTTATTGATACAACTAAATATCTAATTACAGTTCAAATTTCCCTGATTATCTAATGATTATTTAGTTTGTTAGTCTCAGGACCAAAATTAAGGTCATAAATTATGATTGGTGGGGACAGGTCTTTAAGGCTTTTTTAACCTATCAACTCCTCTTCTGTCATGTTTTTCTTGCAATTTATTTATTGAAGGCAATAGGTTGTTTGTGCAGTAGCATTTCTGCAGCCTGACTTCTCATGGTTGCACCTTCGTGCTGTCATTTAATGTGTTCCTCTGTCACCTTGTAGTTCCCGTGCATTCTTGGTTACATCTAGAGGCTTGATCAGACTCAGGGCCAGTTTTCCCGCAAAGCCTTCCTAGAGGATGGCATGTCACTGTGGTGTCTCTTTGTGGTTTGGCATGCCTGTACCTGTTGATTCATTAGGACTTCACAGTGGTGAGACTTTGGCTCTGTCATTCTATCTTTGTCATTAACTGGAGCAGCTTTAGAAATTTCTTCTGCAAAGAGTGCCGTGTCCTTTTTAACTGCTTGGGTCCTGGAGAGCAGGTTTTGCAGGAAAAAAAGATGAAGGATGGATTCAGAGTATTGAACCCTCCGGAAGTGATCCCTGAGTTTTGTTTTGTTTGTTCTGTTATGAACTAGTGGATTTAAACGTATTGGCTGTGTTTCAGTCTATGATATTTATTATTTTATTTTTCAGTGGTCAGTGGGAGCCTCTTCTGGTTAGTGCTTGAGGCCTTTTGACATACCCTGGGAGTCTTTGAGGCCACAGCAGAAATGGGAGCTCGGAGGCGGGGTGGGCAACACCTTTCCTATGTTAGACCTGCCACATCGGGGACCCCAGGGGCCCTACTGCCTTCCAGGGGAAATGATATTTGAGACCAACATCTGGGCACTTGATGTTACTGGTTTAGTCACTGTTTCTGGGTTTTTTCAGTGGGCAGAGTAGAAAACGATGTCTGTCTTTTTTTTCTTTTTTTTTTTTTTTCCTTTTTGTCTTTTTTCGTGACCGGTAACGGGATCGCAGGGAAATGATATTTGAGACCAACATCTGGGCACTTGATGTTACTGGTTTAGTCACTGTTTCTGGGTTTTTTCAGTGGGCAGAGTAGAAAATGATGTCTGTCTTTTTTTTCTTTTTTGTCTTTTTTCGTGACCGGTAACGGGATCGCAACCCTCGGTGTCGCGCCCGCACCGCACTCAACCAGTGAGCGGACCGGTCTCTATATGGGATCCGAACCCTCGGTGGGAGCACTGCCGCACTCCCAAGCGCCGCACTCTACCGAGTGCACCGCCGGGCCAGCCCCTGTCTTTTTTTTCTAAGATCACCTACCTCATGGGTTTATGCTGTTAGTTCCAACTGAAATTCAAGACTGCAGGGTTTTTACTTAACTCATTGATCTCCTTTCTCCCACACTGAAAAATTATGGCTGCTGATGACCCCAATAGAATTATTCATTTGAGGCCACTCTGCACACCTGAAAAGTCTCAAAGAATGGTCTCCACAGTACTCAAAAACATGAGATCTGAGAGCAGCTGAAGATGTTTTAGCAATTATTTCCCCCCTTGGGCATATCCCACTAGGGATGGACTGTCAAATTCCTGCTTAAAGTCCCTTTCGATAGACTCTGTGGGGCTATGCCACCAACCTGATTCTAGTTGGGTTTGGGTTCATTTATTTTATTTTACTTATAGTTGCTAGGGATTGCTTTTTAAAATTTTAAGTTTGTTGTATGTAGAATATACACATGGTTTCAAAGTCAAATCTGAAAAAAGCAAGGTGTGTTCAGAGATGTAAGTTTCTGTCCTGCTTGTCATGCCCTTCCCTGTAGGGCATCACTTAGCCTTGCTTTTGTGGCTTGTTTGGCTTCATATCTCTAATGCAGGCATCACAGATTTACATGCATGTGCACACAGTGTGGTATGTGTGTGTCTGTCTCCCCTTTCTAAGTTAAATGGAAGAAAACTGCACACACTTCTCCTTGTCTTGTTTTCTCATTTAACAAAATGTCCTGGAGATGACTCTGTCTCTTGGACCTCTGGACCTTAATGTTTATGTCCAGCATGGTCTCTCCGCCAGCTTCTCGCCAGCCTTGGGTTGTGGTGTCTGCTCAGGAGGCCCTTCCTTTCCAGGCTGTCGACAGCATTCACCAGGTGGGTGTGTATTGCCTGGCCCTGGTTCCTGCCAACACCCTACCCAAGGCTCCTCTTGGAGGGATTCACATTTCTGAAACCAAACAGCGCTTTCTGGAGGGGATGCTGCACCCATGCAATGTGCTGATGTGCCCTCACACCTGTGTCACCAACCTTCCCAAACCTCGTCAGAAACAGCCAGGTGAGTTGTGCCTACCAGTACCTCCTGTCCGGTAGTTGCAGTCATGCTTGGGGGGCAGCCCCACTCAACTGTGCAGCAGTAACTACCCATGTCTTTGGGGCTGAGGTTCAGAGCCAGGGTGTGTGTGCACACGAGGTTGGTTACTTCCTCCTGCCTTCCTGCAACTGAGCCACGAATGAGAGAACTTTGCCACTTCACCCGTGTAGCGATTTCCACCTGCTTGTTAGGAACCAATTTTAATGATAAATTCAAGACAGTGTCTTAGCTTTGGACAGCTTGGAATAGAAATGATGACCAGGAGCAGACTTGGATCCCCAGGGTCTAAAGAGCTTCTGCTGGCTGCCACTATGCCTTGAGGCGGGCAGCTGTGCCTGTCCCTGGGAGCTAGCTGCTTGCCACAACCCTGTGACCTGCCAAAGCACTGGGGTGATGGGAACTTGGAAGTTTCTCAACAAAAGATTAATTTCCCTTCCCTGATTTTACACATTTAAAAACTAATTTTAAAGTCTGGTTTAAATATATGCATTTTTTCATTCCTTTGGTTACATAAATTTTTAGTACATGTTAACTTTTCTTTTGCTAATTACTGAGCACATAAAATTCACAAAGTAAAATGCATCAGGAAGCATAAAATACAGTAAAACAATAAAATATATTAAGAATTTGGCTGTGGCTAAGGCCAAATTATATCTCCCAAGCTGTACAACATGTCATAAACTTCTCAGTATCACATAGTTTATGTTTGAGAAATTCTCTTTGTCACTTAGCATATATGTTGTAGATGGTTTTCTGAATATCTGTATCCTAGTAGGAGAGTTAAATGTGGAAGTCAAGTGTGTGATGGAAATAAAGTCACATGATGATTACATATTAGGAGCTATCAGCTTCTCATTCAGAATTCATCTGTGTCTAGAGGTTGGACCAGCCTCAATGATTGTTGGGAACCTGGTTGCTGGGAAGAGAATTGCACAGGCCTCTGGGAGAGAGCTCGCACACCTAGAGGACAGTGACCAGGCACGGAAGGTGACAAGCCCGTTCCTGGGAGGGTGGGCATCTAGGCTTCCGGGCGAGGCTGCCAGGGACTGAGCCGGCCCTCTCTTCGCAGTTCCTGTTCCTTGCTGACGTGCTGCAGTGGCGGGCCCATACTACCCCTGACCACCCACTGTTTCTGCTGCTGAACGCCAAGGTGAGGGCCGGGCTGCTGCCCTGCAGGGCCTGGAAACACCACGTGGGCTGGTGGAACCCATTGCTCCTCCAGTTTGTAATTTCAGTATCCTCATTATTTTTATGTCCAGAGAATCGCATGCCTTTACGCATTTGCTGCCCTTGCCTGGCGCAGTTCTCTCTGCCTGCGCTTTTCTTTGTAGGGCCTTTGTTTTTCCCACAACTCACACAATAGTATTTCTATCAATTTTGTATTTAGCAGGAAAATTCTCATCAGGTCCAGTTTTTTATTAAGAACAGTGTACATGTAAATATTCCTAAGTTTGTGAGCTAAAAGGAAACATTTATTTTGTAAAAACTAGGCATTTAGACTCCCTACATTTGTTTACAGCTTTAGAATGACAACTGCTGCCATTGCCCTTATCCTGGGCTGATTCAGAGACACACTTGTGTGTTTTGAATACAGTGGTCATCCCCCTTATTCACAGGGGATACGTTCCAAGACCCCCAGTAGACATCTGAAACCACGGACAGTACTGAACCCTACATATATGATGCATGAGTTTCTTTTTCCTTCTTCACAATTTCATGGATGGAAGCTTCATTCTTACCATGGATCTTGGCAACCTCATCATATGATTTTTTTCTTTCCTTATTGTCGAGAACTTTCACTTTGTTGCTTAAAGGAAGCACTTTACGGCTTTTCTTTAACATATCTGACTCACCAGCATTGCTCCTCTTGTGCTCTGGGGCCATTGTGAAGGAAAATAAGTGTTACTTGAATGCAAGCACCATGATCCTGTGACAGCTGATCTGATACCCAAGACAGCAGACAGCGTCTACAGGGTTGGAAAGCGGTACAAAGGGATGATTCATGTCCCTAGCAGAGCAGTGGGATGGTGGGAGATTTCATCACGCTACTCAGAATGGTATACAATTTTAAACTTATGAATTATTTCTGGAATTTTCCATTTAATATTTTCAGACCATGGTTAACCAAGGGTAACTGAAACTGCAGATAAGGGAGGACCTACTGTACCTTTTAATGTGCATTGCATAGTGGTAGGAATGTTTAGGATGTAATCCTCACATCCAGGTCATGGGCAGGAATACAGAATATCTAAACATAAAAAGTTAAATAACATTAAAAATCCTGCATGACTCCTTGTCAGATGTATCATACAGGCTCTTAAGAACACATGAACTTTGGCACAGTGAAAGGAAGGTCACCGCAGTCTTAGAAAATGCTGGTCGAGCTTTCGGTGCTGCTCATTAATTTAAAAATATTCACTGATGTCTACTGTGTTCACAGTGTTAAATAAGGATGTATCATACAGGCTCTTAAGAACACATGAACTTTGGCACAGTGAAAGGAAGGTCACCGCAGTCTTAGAAAATGCTGGTTGAGCTTTTGGTGCTGCTCATTAATTTAAAAATATTCACTGATGTCTACTGTGTTCACAGTGTTAAATAAGATAAAAAAGATCCCTGCTCCCAGGATGCTTAAAATAAGTCTTTCCTGCTAGAAAACAAGTTGCATAGAAGAGAGATTTTGCCTTGTTCAGTGGTGTGTTGGCAGCATACTGAATGGTATTCAGTCAACATTTCTTTTATGATTGATTGATTTCTAAAGTATACAGTTGGCAGTGATTAACAGTTGACTGAGATACAATCAGCTTATGGTGACAACTTAAGACCTCACCAATAGAGCGAGAGAGTGATGGAGATACTGAGGCGGGGCTCGAGGTGGAGGGCAGGAGCTGGCTCATGTGCAGCAGGGGCTCTGAGGCAATGACACCTGGTGGGCTTGGGTAGAGTGGTGGGAGCTGGTGGGCCAGGAAGAGGGCGGGGATGTGGAGGAGGCCAGGACACTGGGTTTTATCCCGAGGGTGCAGTGGGAAGCCCTGGGTGGGATGGAGCAGCCAGGGCATGACGTGGTTTATGATTACAGGAGATTTCTCTGGGTTGTAAGAGGGTGAGTGTGGGAGCAGGAGGACAAGGGGGGACGTGAACATGGATGGTAGCTCAGAGAGGAGTAGAGCAGTGGCAGTGTGGACGAGCATGGCCTGTGGTCTGAGGCAGGACTTGCACAACCCAGAGTGTCCTGCATGTACATGAAAACTGGACTCTGGGCCATCTGGCTGAGTGCTTTGTGTGTGTGGGGGATGATGTCACAAGGGGCAAGGGGGCCAGGATGATGTGTGGGGCTGAATAGAGATGCTCTCCAGGCCCAGGCATGATCATAAGCAGGTGATCGTGCTCCTTGGAACCATGAGGCCCAGACCATCTCTAGAGGAACAGCCAAACCCATTCTCCAGATTTGGGCTCAGAGACACTCCGAAGTTTTTGCATTCCTTTTGGTTTGTCAGCCTTCAGGTGTGGATTGTCATTGGGCCAGAGGACAAGCTGGCCTTTCACCCAGGAGGAGCCTGTGG